AACACACCTATAACAACCTGATCCATAACGCCCGCTTTTGCGGGCGTTATGATCTATAACGCCCGCTTATAATACCTTAAGGTGTTTTTGTTGTTGTTGTTCTATTAATTTGCACTTTACCCTAGGCAGCCACTAAATGTCTGACCGAAAATAATTTTCGGTCTAGCCAGGATTCGAACCCGGTCTACCATCAATGTTTCCCATGTAGTCCAGCGCGTTAACCCACAGGACCACCACCGTTGCCTTGCCTTATGAGATGTTTATAGATATATTAATTTTTCCTACGAGCGTGCGCAAAGTAGTACTTTTCCGCACGCATTTCCGGGCTCAAAGTTACACTTTTCCGCACTCAGTGCGGATACAGGCCTTATCCGCACTGAGTGCCGAAAAGTAATTATAATTGTCAAGCAACAATAAGTGCAACCTGTCGACTTTGACACATGATGACAAATTTTTCCTCTATTTCTATATCAGCCAACATCTATACAAACACCAATTATAAATTAACTTTGACACATCAGATTTGTTCTCTATTTATATGCAAAAATCTACAAACTTTCTCATCAAATTTAAACGCTTTAAGATGAACAGCTCTGACGAGGATTTTCTGTTATTTTTTTTTTGTTATGTAATTTTTTGATAAATGCATAGGTTCCCTTCAAGTTAATTAAAAATAATTATTTAAACAAATTATCGTTTTTTTTTTCAAATTTTTGTTATTACCTACCTGATATGAAGCTCGTAGGAAAAATTTTGTTCCTAACACGTGCGCAAAGTGTCTTTTCCGCACGCAAACACGTATCCGAACTCCGCTTCGCGTCGTTCGTATAACTGTGTTTGCGTGCGGAAAAGTAACACTTTGCGCACTTGTTAGGAAAATAACTATATTTCGTTTCTATGTACAGGTCGCAGGTACAGGTACAGGTCACAGGTACAGGTACATGTCAAAATACAAAACAATATTCTGTCACACAAGTTTAACTGATTTTGTTAATAACAAATTGATGAAAAAACATTGTGTTGAGTAGAAAATAAAGCATTGTATGCACCACGGGGATTTCAAGATTATAATGCCCTTCAGGCGAAATATATCCCTCGGGCCATAGGCCCTCGGGCTAGTTTCGCCTTCGGGCATTATAATCTACATAATCCCCTTGGTACATAAATAGCTATAATATCCACTTATACTTTAATATACCTACTAATTTTGATTTTGATTAACCATTATAGCGCGTAAAGGTACCCTATGATGGAACCAATAAACATCAAGGTCAAAAGTGCGATCTGAGCGCGATATCTAGCTTTCGTTATTCCGCCTATTTAACACGTTTTCAGCATGATGATATCATTTAATGGAGCCCTAGGAGAATTACGCGGCGTTTTGTTTACATTTCCTCATGTAAGTATTAAAAACTATTAGATAGTTTATTCTTTACTATTTAATTGTTTTTAGTGTTTTCTCATATTATTTTGTTTATGTCTATTCTTGTAAACATAACTGTCCCATATGGGCCCGGGCAGTAGCTAACATTTTTATTATAGCTGTACATTTTGTTTTAGTGGAATTAGCCATCAGGAAGCTTTGAATACTGCTTATGATAATGAAAATGTTGATGGCCTATTATATATTGAGCCTATATACACAGAAAGCATGCAAAGAGCTCACTGACCAAGATTCAGCAGATGAGGAACGTGGTTTAGCTGACTTATCTACTAGGCAACTTTTTGCTAGTGCAGAAATTGTTTATTTGAATGGGAAATATATCACAGGTAGAGTAGAACCAACAATTTTTTGAGATATCATACAATTTTTACTTTATTTTTATTTTCAGACATACCCGAGGAGATATAAAGTACCAGCTTGCGCTACAGAAGAATATGCTTCGGGCTGCAGCAAGTGATTTTTGAGTCAATAATGATATAAGGTATTATGGACTGCATCATTATTCAAACACTTTTCCTGAACGTAAAAAAAAAACGATGCGGTAGTGAAAACTGTAGCAGCCGAGGAAGAACAATGTGCTGGAAATGCAATACTTATTGGCGTATTTGTTCACTGTTTTTGAAAGTTTCACACTCAGTAATAATTTTCACCCATAATGCTGCTCGTGATGCAGGCCAAAATTCATTATACTCTATTTCGTTTACCTTACCTGAAATGATCATATCCATACAACAGCCTAAACGGATCTTTTTCTTATATTTTTGTAAACTTTCCACAATAGGACATTGCCAAAAAGATCTCAAGACAGGTATGGTATCTCCCTTATATTGTCTGTATTTGAATAAGTTGTATGTGCAATAAATAAATAAATAAATATTTCATAATTAACTCTTTATTTTTATTTATAAATGGGTAAAAATTGAATTACCAAGGTCAAATACCTAACTTGACAACTAATCTGAATCGGACTACCTATAATTATAATACTGGTAATTAAAATTTAATAAAAACTTTACACGTTCTGCTGATTGCTCGGCCATTTGTATGTCTGTCTCAGAAGAGTTTAATAATTGATACAAGTATAACTACATTCATTACTAATTGTATCGGTCTCACTAGAATCTTGATTTCTTTTTCTTTTGGCAAGTTTTTCAGCACCGATGGAATCTATTTTTTGGCTGGGTTTATGGATCACTATAGAAGATGGCAAATTCTGGGATGATACAACTTTTTTTTTTCAATATCCGACCTCTACCTGTACTCTCACCTGTAAATAATAAAAACAGTCAATATTTTCAAACAAAACATTTTAAAAATAGATTGGTATACTTGATCAATGCAGGCCTAAAAGGAAGTAGCGAAAACTATCCATTATGCTTGTTTACCTTAACACAAAATTCTTGCTTCAAAAGCAGAGGATACACTTTCATGAATTTAGTGACTGGTTTGCCAATACGAAGTTTTAAAATCCAAGCTTTTCTTCTCGATAGGTACTAACTCTTTTTCCATATTCGATTCCAAATAAACCGGGCCTGTTTCAAGGGAAAATATGTAGAAACTTAACCCTTTGTCAGCTTTTTTTTTAGCCCAAAACTTGCACTGAGGAACACAACAGTAGTGATTACTGATTAAAGGTCATTATTTGAATGTATCTGATATAATTTAGACTAATATACTAGAAACTAGTAATTTCTAGCCAGATCATAACCTGTGGTGCAAACAGCCTACGTCAAGGCGAGAAACGCCATAATGCCTACGTCACAACTGGTTTTTTTCGGTGGTGGTAGGGGGGGATTTGTTACACACGGGCCTTATGCTTATGAGGATGAGCCATCCTGTAGTACGGTGGCTAAATAAACCTTTACATACAGTGGCGACAATAGAAGTCCCGCCGCCATCTTGTTCCCAACCTCTTATTACTTTTAAATATTAATATATAGGATTTAAATGGACATCTATCATAAAAAAATTGAAATCGACGTATTTGATGACCATTATTAGGTCCATCAAATACGTTGTTTTCCATGATTTATGATGGATGTTCACCTAAATCCCATATATTCATATTTAAAAGTAACAAGGAGTTGGGAACAAGATGGCGGTGTTTTCAATATAAATATATGGGATTTTAGAACCAATCAAAAATGAGACAGCAATTGTCGCCACTGGTATCCTGTAGTAGTGTGTATCATCCTTGCTCGAAGCAGGCTTATTCGCGTTCGTTTATTAAAATTTGGAGAGCACTGATACCACAGCTTCGTGCATATCTGACAATAGCTGGGTTCGGCCTGCACACTCCGTGCACTCCGAGTGACTCCGTTCGCACTCCAGCCGTTCTGGTATTGCCTTTTAACGAACCAGATAACGGCTGGAGTGCGAACGGAGTCACTCAGAGTGCACGGAGTGTGCAAGCCGAACCCAGCTAATGACGATGATACTGGGCAGTTTCCGAATTTCACCGATAAAATTGACCGGATGAATAAACCGGTAGCTGTCAAAAAATTCCGGTAAAAGTAAGGCCGGATTCTCATACATCCGTTTTCCGGCGGCAGGTGTCCGAAAAACCTTCTATTTTGACATATTTTTATACGATGTCAGAATAGAAGGTTTTTCGGACATCTTTCGTCGGAAAACGGATGCATGAGACTCCGGCTTTAGAAGTCCGGTCACAAGATTTTTTTTGATGCATTTTAGAACGCTCGGTCTGTTAAAGTTTCGTGTTTCGACATTTTAATGAACGACTGCCAATAGTGCTCATTCATAGAAATTGATGTACCATCGTCACCAAAAGTATCTGGGACGCAAATAATGCATAATAATCTCCTGGACTAATTCTACTGTCATTCAATTCAATGCATTCACAAATATTTGACAATAAAATTCATATAATAGGACAAGAGCTGATGTGATGCTGTCCCAGTTAAAAGTTACTTTTGGTGACGATCGACGATGGTACGTCAAAAAAAAAGTGTCAAAAAATCTCCAACCGAAAACCGACAAAAATTCTGGTGGATCCGGTGCCTCACCGGTTTAAAACAGCTGATCATTCCGGTCAATTAGGCAATTCAATCCATCTGTCAAAAAGGAAAATTCAATATGGCGTGACAGCCAAGCAAGTTTGTTTTGAATATATTTTTATGCGTATTTTTAATTATTTTGCTTGGAGTTTTGCTTGCAACTTTAATTTTGATTATTTAATCACATATTTAATGTTGACGAGGTACGTAAACTATCAAGTCGGGCAGAAACTAGATATTTTTTTGTGTTTTTTGAACCATGTGTGGCCGCTACGCCATCTTGAATGTCACCTGGTTTGAATTGCCTAATTTTGGAACGGACGATCAGGTTCAACTGGTCGGTACATTTTGGAACGGTTTGGTGAGGAAACTATTGAACCGGTATCGCACCGGTTCAGAAACCAGTGAATTTTGGAAAGTGCCCACTATCGAATCGTGTGTTCGGAATCCGGTCTAGTACGTTCTGATTTAATCAGTACCAAAGTCATCTGAAATCGCCCATAAATCGCGGTCGTGAGCTCAAGGTGGTGCGTGCGCAAGCGTGCGCAGTGCGCTCCATCCGCCATTGCTAATCGCCATATTTGTTTATGAAAACGTAAATGTGCGTCCTCTCTAGAAAAAAATCAAGTTAATACTAAATAAGTGTGTACTGATAGATTTTACTAGTTGGATGCAAAGCAGGTCTTTTCGTGCATAATTAAAATCATATTTTTACCATATTCTGTCTGTGAGATTTTTACCCATCCAGGAAAGAATAAGGATGTCTGACGAGGAAAGTACAGAAGCTGTACCCGCCGGTAAGAACTTTTACTTCTATGTACTTGCAATGCAATTTGTTAGGATTCCTTATTTAGGATTATCAATTAAATGATATGCAACATAAAATTTTGACCTAATCAATCATATAGGATAAATTATCCTTTAAAATAAATTATTCAAAAGCTCCAAAAAGTGAGTGTTTGGAAATGGGCCAGTTTTTTTGGTTCTTCACAAAATAGGTGCCTAGGGCTTCTATGTGGCAAACCGCCTCCTCCGCCTACACGCTACCCTAGACCTTTTCTAACCTAGTTCTAACAAGAGTTCAAGTTCTCAAGACATCTCTTAAGCTAGAAGAGCAAAGTCAGCATAATCGAAAATCAATACATGGAACAATAAAGGCTCTTTGAAAGCTAATTAAATGCCCTAATGAGAAATTTTAGGATCCTTGAATTTTTGTGAAAATGACCATTCCGCTAGCTTTAACTTAAGCCAGCAGAACATGAGCGAAAAAGTGGCTAAAACAACGAACATTGCAATTCCAATTGCACAGGCATTGAAGGCTCTCGAAATATACCAATCCCAAATTTCAGGCTCAATTACTTTTTTTTGTGAAAATGCAAAAAGCGCGATGCGTGAATGATGTCGGCCAAGCATGGCAGAAAAACCTCTCAAGATGGTGAAAATCAGTGTTCCGGTAGTGCAGTCGTAGTGAATACATTAAAGGCTAATTAAATGCTGTTATGAGAACTTTTAGGCTGTGCTAGTTTCAGCGAAAATAGCTATTCTGCCAGCTTTAACCTAAGCCAGCAGAACATAATCGAAAAAGTGGTCAAAATAACAAAAATCACAGTTCCACTTGCACAGACATTGAAGGCTCTGGAAATGCACCAATCGCGAATTTCAGGCTCAATTATTTCTGTGATTTAGTGAGTTTGGAAAAGTCTGATTAAAATTACAAAGTACCCAAACTAACCTGGTTATTATTGGTAAGTTTAGAAATTTCTGAAATTCGCGGTTGGTGTATTTCCGGAACCTTTAATGAGCCTTGAATGTCTGTGCAAGCGGAATTGCCATTTCTGTCGATTAGCCACTTTTTTGCTCAGGCTGGCTTAGGTTAAAGCTAGCAGAATAGCCTTTTTCGCGGAAACTAGCAGAGCCTAAAATTTCTCATTACAGCATTTAATTAGCCTTTGATGTATTCACAGCGACTGCACTATAGGGCAAGTACACGATCTGACAGTTTGACACTAATGACAGTCACCTTGAGGTAAAACAAACATATATTTACAGATGTTTTTTAGGTTTCTATGGTTTATTTTTTTCCAAGATAGAATTTGGTCAACTTTGAAACATAAACAATGCCGCTTATTGGTCCCTATTGTAAACCTGATGTCAACCTGCAGAAACACCTCATTTTGCGACCAGTCAGGGTCAAGCGTTATTGTTTATGTTTCAATGTCAAAATCTATCTTGGGAAAAAATAAAGTGTATAGTGAAATTAATTAAACAGTGTATGCACGTGATCAAAATTAATGACATAAGCACGTCGCAATGTTGCCGCTATTAACTTTCGTTTTACTTTGACATACCATGTCTAGTAAAATTTGTTATCACTAAGCAAACAAACATCGATTTTTATATGTATAGATAGTGTATTATGAACGTAATCTAAAAAAACTACTCACTTTGATAGTATCAATATACTTCACCCACCTCTCTAACGCTATTTAATGGCAAAAAGGTGCCCCCATTATCTTGTTCTTGTTCAAAGAAACTAATTAGAGACACAATGAGTTTCTGACTCTGACTATTCAATGACTTTGGCATTTTATAGATACACAAATAGAAATAATTTCATAGTAGATTATACCACTAGTCAATAATGATAGCTATTATTCCCGAGGATTATTACGAACTGAGCCGCGTTAGCGGCGAGGGAGTAACATTCCGAGGGAATAATAGCCATTATTGCGAGTAGTATACTCTACTTTATTTACGACAAATTAATTTATTTGAGATTTTCTTTGAACAAATTTCATCCGTCTCATAATTTTCAATAGAAATCCACAAGCACTACACGTTTGACACTGACACTTTTGTGGAATAATGACCATTAATCCCGCTACTCGTCATTAATCCCTGGAGGAATAACATATGTCATTATACTGCCAAAATCACAAATATAATACGCACATTATACATTAGTCGTAAATAAAATTATTAAAATCAGTAACCGCAGATTTGCAGCAATATTTGGCAACATAACCCATGAGTGCCAAACTGAATGTCATTTTATCGGCCGATTCAGTTAAATGCCAACAGTGTTCTGTCTTTTTCTAACTAAGGTTAAATAAAAAGGAGAATGAGCTCTCAGCTTGAAACGAATTTTAATTTCTTACAAACTGCAATTGGCAATAATTTCGACGTCATTGATCATGTGCATACACTGTTTAAATAATTTCACTATAGTTAGATTTTTTTAATCAAATACCTTTTGTGTGGTCCAGAAGTTTCTTGGACATGCCTAGAGTTTGTTAAGTTGTTAATTGTGGCAGTATAGCGCGAGGGATACAATATCCTTTCATAGGTTTCCATCAATTTTAAATAACAATGGGAGGTTTGATTTGTTAGCTCAAGAAAGAAGAGAAAAATGTTGTTAAAAGAGAAGATCTGACAGAAAAATAGATTGAATTATAGAGTAACTATTTGAATGTCATTTACCCTACAAAATTTATCAATTAGCATCATTACAATTTACAAAGGGAAACTAAATTTAATTAACCTATCAAAGCAAAAGTACTTATTGGTACCTAAATAACAGAGTTATTTGTATGTACCAGATTCCATTTCTTTTTTTTTTTTAATAAGTAATAATACTTTTTTTAATAAGTAATAAGTATTTCCTTAATATTAGAATAATTACTTAAAAAGATATTCAAATTTCTTATATTCTTTATATAAAAATTTCTTGCAGTTAATCTTAAACCTATAAATATTATTAGTCACCTTCAAACTCCTTGATAACATATTGTAGATTTTAGGACCGAGGTATGCTGCACTTCTTAGATTAATGTTATTAAAATTTAACGGAATTACAATGTCTGCATTTATCTTCCCCCGAGTTTCGTATTGATGGCTTATTATATTTTGAAGATATTTATTTTGATGGATAAATGCAGCTACCGATACCATATACAATGTTCTTATATTACATATTTCATCCGAAAAAAGTAACTCTGTAGGATACAACCTATTTTTGCCATACATAATTTTCAATATATATTTCTGCGCAACATTTAATTTTTGAAGAGCATTATCATATAATCCTCCCCATACCAAAATTCCGTACCTAATCAAAGACTCAACAAGGGTTTTGTATATAACAGTTAACATTTGTCTGCTCAGAACCTGCTTAAGCAGGTAAAATTTACGAATTAATCCACGAATTCTATTTGATAGGTACTCAATATGTGGAAGCCACTTCAGAAACTGGTCAATTATTATGCCAAGATACTTTGTATGGGAAACTTCTTCAACTTTTTGATTATTGACTGTACTTATATATTTGTTCTTGTGACACTTGGTTTTGATTTTTGTTGGAAAAATCCTGCATTGAATCCATTATAGAAAAACCTAGCAAACTTCTGGATAAAAGACCACATAGACTGGAACATAATAGTATATTGTATATTTAGGTGGAAAAGTGACACATTCTCGGCCGACGGTGTAAGTTGACGGGCGGGGCCGAGGCCGAGGCCGGCAAACACCGAAGGCCGAGAATGTTCTTTTCCACCGAAACACACATACTATTTTTTCTGCGATCGGTTAAATACCTGTTAAATGTTTGTCTTTTATTTCCAATTATTCAGCAATACGAGAATTACTTTCCCGGCCTAGGCCGGGACAGACAGATTTCCATTTTGCAATTTTTTTCCAGAAATGAATTTATTACAAGATATTATTAATGAAGCCTCAGTCGTAGCCAACAGTTTATCACCAGAAAAGTCTCCCAGAAGGTACCTACAAGCAATTATTCTTGTGATAAAACCGATTTTTCAAAAATAAATAATTCTACTGACTTGTAATAGTATATTACAATCCGAGACGAAAAATACTTCATTGCTGGTCGAGAGGTTATTATAGTTTATCGAGACGCGAAGCGTCGAGATAAACTCAACCTCGAGACAGAAATGAAGTTTTCCGTCGAGGTTTGTATACTTTTTTATTTTCAACCCTTAATTTTCTGATGCAAAAACTAAAGATTCTGTTATACGAAATTTTCATATAGTGTAAAACTGGCCTTAGAAAAAAATATTTCACTCTTTTTGTCAATGTCATCAATTTTGACGATCTCAAAGGCCCTGTAAAGGCCAAAACAAAAGACGAAACCACAGGAAACCGCAAAATCAACAACCATAGATAAGATCAACAACGCCTTAACGACGGTAGTTTTCGCTCAGTATTTTTGCGGAAATAATAGATTTTCACTAGATTTCTCCCCGTTCTCCCCAAAGAAATGATTTCGGAAAGTGAAGATGAAGCGATGGATTGTACCCCACCTGAATTAAAAGAAGCAGCAGACAGGATTGGAGAGAGTTTGCTTCCAGCAAAAAGCAAATTTCGGTACGAAAAGGCTTTTCAAATATTCGAAGCATGGTGTAGCCAGAAAGGAACGAGAAATACTGCCTCGGAGACCGTTTTGTTGGCGTATTTTGGCGAATTATCTAAGGAAAAGAAGCCTTCGACTTTATGGTCGACTTACAGTATGTTGAAAACCATGATTAAATTGAAAGAGAAAGTTGATATCTCCAATTACGCAAAACTTATAGCTTTTTTGAAGCGGCAAAATCTGGGCTTTCAGCCGAAAAAGTCGAGCGTTTTTTCCAGAGAAAACATTAACGAGTTCCTCACGAAGGCAGCTGAAGAATTCATTAGCATCAAGGTAGGTTTTCAAAAAATATACAAAGAAGATAAAAATGCGAAAATCAAAATGATTTTCTGTATGCTATAGCTAGGTTACCCATTTTATTTTTATCTG